TTTTCTATGTCTTGAGTTCTGAGAAGCTTTAAAAAAATCAACAGTGATGCAAACTTCAACAGTAGAGGATAAAAAATGCTATGTATGTGTACGTATATACATACATACATACATACATACATACATACATACATACATACCTAGCTTTCTACCCATGGGTACTGCTAAATTTAGAATTATCCACCTCTGATCCCACCACCTTAAAGGTATGCTTTCCCATTAATAGCCAAGCAAATATCTGCTTCTTAATAATATATACACTAAAGTTAATCATTTTCCTTTCAATCTCATTGGTATGTAAAATAACTGAGTTAATAAATTCTCTAAAATTTCATCCCTAATTATATTGTTGGTACCGTAAAAACAGTTTGTATTTTGTAAAAACTACTAACTTTGCTCTCCATCTTGTGGCTATTTGAAACGATACAGACTAAATGATAAGACGGCTTTGTAAACTGAGAGAAGCCATTATCTATGGTACATTAAGGATTAATCGACCCAAAATTCAGGATATTACACTGGACACAGCTGATGCCAGGTGTTATTTTGTTTCCTGAAAAATCTATATTTCATAAAGAACAAAAATAACAGATGGCTTCAGAAGTCTATGACAGTCTATGAAGAAGAATAAAATAGGTTTAGTATAGTCAAGATGATTGATGTTTAAAATTCATAGCTCTCAGCATTTTATTTGCTGGACCATTAAAGAAATAAAACAACAGTAGCATTGCATCTGACCTAGTTGTGGAAAATTTAAATATAGGCATGTTTAGGTAGCAACATGGATCATTATTTACAGTATATTTTAATCCATACTCCTGATAACACAAATAGCTGATAGATTATATATGCAATCTCTAATGTAAATAGATTATATTTACATTATCAGCTAAGAAAATGTCAAAGTAACTCCAAGTTACAGCCACTGTTTTCGTAATTTTCTTACATGTGATTATTTGCATTAATTTTTCTAAAAAAAACCCTGACTTTCGGATTCACAGATGTGGACAAGCTCTCCTATTCTCACCTTGGATTAATATGGGAATTAATCATGTTCTTCCCTCCCAAAATCAAATATCTGAATAATTTGAATATGTTTTCTGACTAACCCCCCACTCGGTTCAGGAATCCAAATTAAAGCAATGGATGGCGGGTTAAACATTTTTTAAAATTTATTTTAAAACATCAAGAAACAAAATAAATGACTACAGAAAAGGAAGGGGGGAAGAGAGAGAGATAACTGTCTAGCTTCTGACTCCAAAAAGCAGCCTACCACCTCACTAGGTAACTAGTTCCATGATTAAGCTACTATAACTGATAGGAGATTTTCCCCCCCTAACTTTCAGTTAGATTCTGCCTTCCTGTAACTTAACTCCATTATACATGTCCTGATAACGAAAAGACCACGTACCTTCTGCGTGGCATCCTTTCAGGTATTTGAAAGGCAATACTTTATCTCCCTTCAGTCTTAGAAAGACTAAGCATGCCCAGATGCTTCAATTTCTCTTCCTAAGTCTTAATTTCTCCTCTGATCACCCTCACTGCCCTTTTCTGAATCTGCTGAAATTTCTATGAATCCTTCTTAAAATCAGGTACCCAGAACTAAACAAACTACTTGGGACTTGGTCTGGCCAACGCAGAACAGTGGGAAACTATCACTTCCTATGATTTAGAAACAAAACTTTTCTTAATGGTTCCTTGAATATAGCATTTTGAACCTTTTCTTATACAATTTATTTCTTACCAAGATCCTTTTGAATGCTATTTCTGTCTCTTAGGGTATTAGCTATCACAAGTGTTACCTGCAAATTTGATAAACTTTCTCTTCACTTTCCCATCCAAATCATTAATAAAAGTGTTGAGGACTACAGGGCCCAGGAACAAACCTGGGACATCCTATTCATTCACCTTTGTTGAGGAACCATTGATGAATATAGTTTGAGCCAGCACATATCCACTTAACTATTATGCTGTCCAGCCCATAGTTTATCAAAATTCAGTGGTTACTTCACTAAAAGTTTTGCTGAAGATGAAATAAGATGTATTTTCTATATGGCATTCCCATGTTCTATCCACCAGAATTTACCCAATCAGAAACTAGAATAAGATCACTCTGTCAAAATTTGTTTTTGATAAATCCATAATGATTTCTGGATAATCACCAGATAATCTTTTCCAGGTGCTTATAGATCAATCACATTATTCTCTGCTCTAGAATCTCCCTAGGTATTAATATCAGACTGACTGTTCTGAGGTTCCTAGGACTTTCTTCTTCTCCCCTTAAAAAACAAAGCAAAACAGGGACATTTGTTATTTCTTCACTTACTTCACTCACTCTGCAAGATTTCTCAAAAATAATTCATTAGAGTTTGGCCAGACTATCATCAAGTTCCCTAATACTCTTGAGTGTAATTCATCTGAGACAAAAACTCAGAGTAAACAATATTCTATCCATGACCATGTTTCTGTCAATCTCAACTATCAATCCTGCCCCTTGGTTCTGGTCTTCACAGTTGCCTGGTGAAACAGGACTGAGTCAAAACTGAGTATTGTCTTCATTGAGCAATTTGATATACTGATTCTTTTCTTTTCCTTTCATTTGGAACATATTAAAATGAGCCCTCTTTATTTTTCTTGCCATCTTTCACCAATTCATTCTGAGTTTTATCATTCCTGACCCCAACTATAAAGTTAGAATTTCCTATTTGTACCCTTGTTTTCTGATCTAGCCCCTTTTCACTACCTGTACTTAGCCCTTTTTATGTTCATACCTTCCTGGCCTTGTTTATGCTTTCCTTTTTTATAATTTTAGTATTTTTTTAAGCAACTCACACCTATCTTGATTTTCCCCATTAATTTGTCCTAGTTTCATTGCTCTAAGTTTATTAAAATCTGTATGAGCAAGTTATCTTTTTAATTACACTCCGCTTTATCTTCCCTTTAAAATCAAGAACTTCAATATTACATGGTCATTTCTCCCCAGTATCGCTGTTATTTCCAATTCCTCAAATAAAAGTTTATCCTCACCGTCCAGCTGCCCTGCTAACCATTTCTGATAAACCATCCTCTTTTAATCCCATGCACAGCATCAAAGTGACCTCAAGGCAGTTTTTGTTGTTGTTTTTATTTCGAAACCACACTTTTCCATGTTAGATCACCTCAAGCATTTTTGCCAATTTGGGGTAGTGCATTTCAGTTTGTTACCGGGTAACTCCAGGAGTTAACTGGTTACTTTATAGGAATGTCCCTTTAACTGATTCAATGCTTAACATGCTCTCTGATACCTTTTAAAATTCCCTTTTACCATGAATGCTGTAATAGCACAATGGCTACAATTTTTGTCATATCAATAGAAGATTGTTGGTTCAAAACCCAGCAGAAATGTGTGTGTGTGTGGGGGGGTGCAATTACTGGTTTTGGGTTTTTTTTCCTCCTAAACTTCCTACTTTTTCCCGTGCTTTGTCTTGTTTCTTTTTAAAAACCTCTTGTGGTATACCAGTGTACCTTTTTGGCAATAACCTGAGGTAGAAGGGTTTATCCACAACTCCCACATAGTCCAAATAAGAGTAAAACAGAATATCACTGTGGAACAATTTTCAAGGTTTTAAAAAAACCACAGAAACTATATATATATATATATACCTATCCTACATACCACTTCTTACAATAAACTCAGAAACCACTAGTAAGAAAAATTAAAAATGAATTCTCATGCAACCTGAAACTGAAGTAGAGACAGAAGAAAACTTATGAAAAGTTGTAAGTCAAATTTCAGTATGGCATTATCTTTCTTTAGAGAAATCCTTTAGTCACAGGTTTAGCACAACATCCCCCAACTTGGTACCTGGCAGAAGGGTACCATTTGTGGATTTGGATTATAGGAATTATAGGAGATAAAGATCACTCTTGAATAGAAGTACTTTGATAGGGCATCAGGATTGTGAAGGCTGGTTTAGTGTATTCCGGAATGTTCTAAATTAGGGGTCTGGTAGCATCTTTTCCAACTAACAATTTTTGTTAAAAGGCATCAGCTTTTGGGAGATGTAGCTCACTTAATCAGGTGCATAGGATGGCTGGACTGATGCAGGATTTAAATTGGGTTGAAGTGGAAAGGGAAAGATGCAGGGGGAAAGGGAGGGGAGCTAGGTTCTTTATGGAGATGCAGGTTACATATCGGACAGATTACGGGTATCTTATCAATTAATAATTGTAATGTATTAAACACCCACTGTGCTTGTTGAAATCTTCTAAGATTGCCTGAAGCCTTTTGATGTTCAGCAATTTCTCACTCAATGCTGCCTTTAAATTCCCCCCCCCTCCTTTTTTTTTTTCAAAACGGTCACTTTGAGATCTGCCATAAAATGTCCTGGGAGATGGAAATGCTCTGACATTACTTTGTCCTGTATGCTCTGTCACAGAAGAGACTTGTCTTGTTCTTCATCTTGCCCTTTCTCTCTGTCTGCTTTCAATGTGCACAGTGTCTTTCCTGCTTGTTTTGCTTCTTTGCCTTCAGCGTCTGCGTATGAAAAGAGTATTAAATAAGCTACAGGTAGTCCCCAGTTTAAGAACGAGTTCCGTTCCCAAGGTCTGTCCTTAAGTAGAATTTGTACGTAAGCCAGAACAGTATTATTATATAATGCTGTATAAATAGAATTGTGTAATGAACACGAACCACTGTGTATTGAACTCAAACCATTGTGTATTTAACTTGAATTTTGCTACAAAAAGGCTCTGTTCTTAACTATGGGTCATCTGTAACCCAGGCATTCTTAACCCAGGGGCTACCTGCAAGGTGAATTTCTTCTTCTTGGGTTCTTGACTATAGTTTGCACTAAGGTTTAAGTTTAAAGTTGTAAAGCACAAACTGCTTGGATGTTGATAGATACTGGAGCTTATTGTAATGAGAGTATCCTACAGGTACCTCACACCTTACAGCAGGTATTTTTCGTTTTCCAAGATTTTGCATTCTTTTTGCCATATATTCTTGCTTTATCTTACAGGAAATCAATGATGGAGATGTACAGGATCTGGTGAGAAAGTCAATTGGAAGATTAACAATTATTCGGCAGAGCTTTCCTGTACCACAAAACATCAGTCAGCGCTGTTTCCGTGGGAACCACCGAATATCTTCATCGCTTTGTGATCCTAAGGACCCCTTCTCCCAAAATATGGAGGTATCCTCTAATTCTATGCTATAAACATAACTTAGGTGGATGAGAAAGGGGAAAGCTTTTTATATAATGAAATTTTCACCCCGTCTTATGCAGCTGAGTAGATGTTCATAAATTCAAACACACACACGCACACACACACGCACACACCTATCCCTATACAGTCCATAATGAAATCACATATATTCATGCCTTTCTGAAGATCAATATCTGTATTCATTTGCTTTGCAAATATCCTTTCTCAGAAAATCTGCTCAAAAGGGCCAGACTTTCAATTAAAAGGTGATTTCTCATTCTGACTGCCATTCATCTGAAGTCTGTTACTATTTCTACCTTTATAATATTACATGAAAGATGGTGTCTGACTACAAGGGGAATTAATGAATAGTGATTTGTTCAAAGCCACAAGTCATTTCAAGGTAAAAATTCCAAAATAAAACAAAATCTAAACTCTTGTATTTAAAAAAATGGCATTTGTTATTTTTTGCCCACCAAAAAAGATTCTGCACACCATATCCATTTCTTTCAGCTGTCTGACACTTTTTTCCTACCAAATGGGTTAGCATTTAGGTTAAGGTCATCAATCGATGGTTGACAGTTACCTCTGCGAATTTATGTATCCACACTATAATCACAACAAGGATATTACAGGAATCGATTATGTCCATGGCAGGGGAAAAACTGTTCAAACATGAGATTTTAATGCTAGTAATGGGCAACAAAGAAACAAGAGCCAAAAAACTATGCTATTTATTTTGTTTATTAAATATATATGCCACTTGACTCCCAGCAACCCTGGGAAGGTTGCAAAATGTTAAAAAAAATCAAAACAAAATAATACACAGTAAAAGAAAAAAGAACAAAGATGGCAAAGATAACAAACCCAGATAGGAACAAAGAAAAAGAAGAAAAGGGGCTTCAATCACGCTCACCAGAGGCCTGGGCAAAACAGCCACATCTTCAGGACCATTGCAACACCGGCAGGGTGGGGACCATTCAAATCTCAAGGGGAACCTCATTCCAGAGGGCAGGGATTGCTACAGAGAAGGTGCGCTTCTGGGGTCCCAGTAGACGCATTATTTAATTGACAGAACCTGGAGCACACCCACCCTGCCAGGTCAGATCAGCCAGGAAGATACTAAAATCACATAAGATTTTTAAAAATAAGTTTAAAAGATGTTTTATAACAGTGTTTTGCTATTTTGAAGTGCTAGATCTGTTTTTACTACATTATTTAAAAATATTTTAATTCTTTCTTCTTATTATTTTATGAGCCTAGTTCAGAAGATCTCTAAAATGCAACATCCATAGTTGCTGTATAACTTTTGTTTAATTGTATGAATTATTGATATGTACATAATTGTCTTATACTCTAGATACTTTGCTTTATATAGTCACCAAGAATAGATATTATCTGATCATTAAAGATGGGAAGTCCTGCCAGGATTTCCCAAATGGAAATTCTTGGAATTTAAAGTATGACAGATGGTGCTATATGTGATACATAACATCTTTTTCTGACATATGGGGAAAAGTCTTGGCATATAATATGTGCCATTTCAATCTTATCCAGCTGCACTACCACAAATCAAAGAATGGTAAAAGCTTCTTGCAGACATAGGAGTATCAAAACTCTTGACTAGGTTTCAAAATTACTTTTGATGTTTTATGACCAACACCAGAATGAATGAATGAATGAATGAATGAATGAATGAATGAATGAGTGAGTGAATGAATGAATGAATGAATGAATGAATGAATATACACACACACATACATACATACATACATATGTGTCTACATTAATGTGAATCATTTTAATCCTGAATCCTCAATTTCATTATGTTCTTTGCCAAATCTGCAGGCATAGCTTTAGGTTTAAACTAGGTTTGGGCCATATTCTGATGCAATCATCTCTTTTTCTTAATTTTACATTATTATTAACATCTCTTTGCCAAATATTCCTTCTCTTTTCGTTTTTTTATAGTTATTTAATGTTTTAATAATAATTATGATATTGAGTGTTTAGTATTTAATGTTCCTAGTAAATAAACTACCTGTTTTTAGCTTTGTTGTATGCCTCCCAGAGTCACTTGTCATGAGATAGGCAGCTGTATAAATTTAGTAAATGAATAAATACACACGTCAGAGTGTTAGACCTTGGATAGCAAATTGTATTAAAGGATACCTTTGGAGAAGGCTCATTTGAGATACCTGCTAGGAACATTAATCTGAAACATGAAACTCCCAAATGAGGAGGTGTAGAACTTCATCATCTAGTCTCCTTAACTGTATTTGGAAATGAGAAGGATGTTCTGGTGCAATTAGGACTTATACCTGGATCACAAACTGTATGCAGTTGTTCATCCATCAGTAGACAGACACCAGACCTTATCAAGGAACCATACAAGCCTGGGATGTCTTCTCTTGACATGCATTGAAATAACCCTTAGATTAGAAAAATGTAACACTTCAGGTAGCAGCCAGGAACATGCCTTCACTTATGAAATGCAAACTGAATTAACTAGTAATCACATAACAGCCTCTGGGCCCAAGTGGTTTGTAAAATGTGAGGCAATCTATTGTGGTGATATTACATTTAAGTTCATGAAAGCTTGAGCGGTGACAGCTGAGACAAACTACCTCTGAATTCTGCCAGCATCTGGGTGCTAGTTACTTATAATCAATTCTTAATCTCTTTGACAGATTACCAACCTTTACATATATGATACTGTGCTGTTGCTGGCAAATGCGTTTCATAAGAAGCTGGAGGACCGAAAGTGGCACAGTATGGCTAGCTTGACATGCATTAGGAAGAATTCAAAACCATGGCAAGGAGGGAGATCTATGCTGGATACAATCAAGAAGGTACTCTAAATCAGCCCTTATCATGATTTTTATATGGTTAATGAGTTGAATTTGTTGGTGAAATACATATGAGCTTTGTCAAGTTGTATGGCTATTTATATACAATTCTCTCTCTGTACGTGTGCGTGCGTGTATGCACTAGACCTGTGCAGATCATTCTGTGAGGGGCTTTGCTATATTGACTCACCTGCAGGAGTGTCTGCTGGGCAAGCATATTGGCCCAGAAGCAGATGAGTAGACAGTATCACTGAATTAGCATTCAGTAGGAAAGCTAATATTTGGAGTAGCACTTTCCACTCTGTGTATACAACATGCATACATCCAGCCAGTTAAGGATGTGCCTGTGCAGCTGGTTATCTATCACTTTTCACAACCCAGGCAAACATGAAAGCTTTACAAAAAAGGTATTGTTTATTTAAACAATAAGTATAGAACTCCAACAGCAAAACATTCATTGCGACATCCTTCAATCTCTAGTAGTACTGTACACAAGTAAAGAGGGAGCCAATCTGAGTTTCTGGAGCAGTAAGATCCACACATAGCATTTATTATTCTTTCATGTTGTTGACATCTGATCCTGTTTTAGATGTCGGATGCTTAGAACATGGTCTGGATTTTTTTTAATTTATTTATTAAAAACCTCAATGGACAGGGAAACATTGGGGGAGAGAGGTCCTCTTGAATAATGGTTCTACAAAAACTCTGAAGCTTGCTGCTTTTGTTACTTTACAGAAATGACTAAGTTAACTCCATCTTTCTGAGAAAGCTTGGCTTCAGAACTTCATGACTGGGTACTGAATCCTGGCAATCACAATGTCAATGAATCATTATATAGATGTACATCTATATATCATAAATATTTATATTACCTGTATTTATGGACATTATAAAGTTGTGTCCTTGTTTTGATATCTTTGAGCTGACCCTAAAGGTGTGTGGTTGGGATATGAAAGTTGTGTATTTCTTATGCAATTGATGCTGTTTTGTTGGCTGAGATCCTGAATGATTTGCAGTGAATGCTAGTTAGTTTGTATGATGCGACAAAGAGTATGAATCTGAAAGTTAATGTATCAAGAACCAAAGTAGTTGCATTTGAGATGAAAAGTGGAATGAACGTTTACAAGTCGTACATATATGGTAACAAATTAGAAAGAGTAGATGTCTTTGTGACTCTTGGTAGAATAGTTATTAAATATGAAGAAATGGATGGAAAAATGTTGACATCCAAATGCTGGTAGACAAGTAGTTTGTGATCTGTTGTTAGGAGTAAGTGTTTGTCCAAAAAAAAAAAAAGCAAGAAAAAGTATGAGTGTACTTCTGCCCACTTTCTTAGACAAAAATGAGAGTTGGGTATCTGAGGAGGAACCTAAAGTAAGTTGAATGCAATGGGATTGGGCTACCTGAGAATTGTGTGTTGTAAAGTATAGAGATAGGGACTGAATGAGTGGACTGAAGTCAGAAGTAAGTGACCAGTAAAACAAAAACAAAAAAAAACCCTCACTGAAGTGGTTTTATCATATAGTGAGATCCTCCAAGTATAAAGGGGGAAAAAATGCAGTGTATAAAGCAGTGCATGGACCTGGTGGAAGGAAGGCTGGTTTGCAAGGTGTAAAGCATATGGATAACTAGTTTTAATTATATTTCCTTTCCTTTTCTCTTCTCTCTTGCTTTGAATTCCTTTTCTGCTTACTACATATTTTTCTGTGCCTTGCAAAAATCTGAAAGTGAATATAGCATGATCGGTATGTATGTATGTATGTATGTATGTATGTATGTATGTATGTAAATACCTGTACACACTCTACAAATCCTTTTGTTCACTAACTTTTTCAGCCTGTTTTCTGATATTTTCAGCCTTTTGAAAATAAGATTAAGAAAATAAACGTACCCTTTTAACTCATAGGTGCTATTCAGAGTAATGATTAATTTCTGACACAATTCTCCCCACAATACAAAAAGAAGTGACCAGCCCTATACAACTTCAAAGCAGTACAAAAGGAATAAAGACAATGAACAATCTCTGTATTAATTATATTAAGTATGTTGTTGAAGTACTTCATTAGTGCCATGCAGAGAACCAACCTATTGTGTCCTTCCAGCTCTCATTCATGAAAGAAAATTTCCTACCTGCATTTATTTCAAAGAAGACAATTGCAGGGAAATCTTCATAGGGGGAATGTAACATTCTTTCTCTTACTTTATTATGGGGTGCCCAAAGTTGATATAGCTATGAATGTCCTTTCATTGTACAAGCCTCTCTCCAGTGATCTGCATCCTCCCTCGCTATCCATATTTCAGTTCATTCCCAGAGGAAAACATCTGAAGAAACTCCTTCTGCTGGCCTTTTTTCAGACTGAGAAGGACAATCAGCATTAGCACCTTTTGCCATTTCCAACAATAATATAAACATTGCAAACGACACTAAGAGGGAGAAAAAAATCTCAAGTATTTGGGGAATAAGATACAAAAACATACTTTCTGTGCAAAGGAAAAGAGCATTTGAGAGATGTCAGGCTGAGATATTGGCACTGGATTAGACCTTAAAATTATAATTGTTACGTAACTCTGTTTTGAGGAAAGCATCTAAACACCAGCTGCAGTTTTATAATGTGGATAGAGGCAAGTGTGAAGGTGAAATGTTTACTTTATCTAGCAAACTCCATGCCATTCTTTGCTATTTACTTCCCCTGTATTGTTTTCACAGCCTTCAGGAATCCTTCTTTTCAGCAAGGCTAGAAATGTCTTAATTTGTCAGTGGTTTCATTTTCTAGGGAGTGATATGTCAGATTTTGCATACAGGGAGCATCCAAATATGAAAAGAACAATGGATAGGATCAAGCCCCAGTTAGGATTGGAAAGGCTATAGCTTTCTTGTTGCTGTTGTCTTTTCTCTCTCTTTCTCTCACACACGTCCTCCTTTGGATGGTCCATCACTTTCTCCTTTTTTTCTTTTTTCTCTCTTCCCCTCTCCTCTGCCTTTCTCCCTTGATTTCTTCTTTGATGTCTTGCTACTTTGGCTGAAGGTCTGAACTGATTATTCACAAAGAGATTTTGTAATCAGACTGAGATTCAAGGCTTTTCCATTCCTATTTTGCAACCTATATGCCTTCCCAGAACATGGCTATGGAGAACTTCAGAAGTTGATGTTGTGACTTTCCTATTCCTTTAATATCAATTGTGGTATAAGACTAGTGGTCTGGGTATCTGAGACAACCTTTACTAGATCAATTCTGCTTGCCTGGCTCAGAGGGGTAGAGAATGCTTGCTAAATGGCCAGTCTATCTAGAGGTGTGACAGGTGGGATTCCAGTGATGATCTTTGAGCAGATGCCCTCCTATGGAATAACCAGACCCCTGCAGAGAGGATGGTCTTCACTCTTAAGACATTCTAGAAGGTGGTAAAGACTGGCTTTTCCAGAAGGTCTTTGAGGACTGATTATGGAGCCATTAATGACAAAAATACTGTATTGTATTACCTTATTCTCTGATACCATTATCATTATCATCTGTATACTCTCTAGAGTTTGATTGGATTGAAAGAGTAAAGAAACTGTGTAAATGTATAAATAGATTTGCACAATTGTTCAAACCTTAGTGGCTATATGCATACATACATGTGTACATATATAGAGAGGAACTTACTTACTTACTTGATGTATCTTCAGATGAGGATAAGCCAACTTCATTTTGTTTTAATTGCTTGATATGTTTTTGAAGTCTTACACAAGAGGCAAAGTAGATCACCAGTAGCTCAGCATTCATAGATTAATCCCTCATCACTTCTGCCCCATCATGGATCATCATTTTCCTTTCTGGAACAAAATTTTCATCCAGGCTTTGAATCAAGTGATAGAGTATGTGTGTGCACCATGCTCCTTAACCTTCTGTATGTGTAAGAAAAAACTAAAACACTACAGTTGTTCAAAGTGGCTTGTTTCAAAATGGCTTTTCTCTACATTGAGATTTCTTTTTCAGACTCATATTTTGGTGCCACTCTGTGATTAGGGAGAGTGAGATGAAATTGCCACAGCTTGAGAGCTCCCTGCCCTTTCTTTTTTCTTCTTTCTTTTAACCTGTGGTATTTATTTTGTGTTTCTCTATTGGGTAGAAGGTGACTTCAACCATTTTGAAGGATGAGGGTTTTCTTCATTCATCCTGCAACTTTTGAAGACCAACACTTGCCACCCAAATATGAAAAATACTGTGGGTGTCTTATCAACAGTATCCCAAGCATTATTTAGTCCCTTCAGATAGCCCTGGTAGGCTTGTTCTACTTCACTGTACTCCTAACATGGTTCTTTTTCCCCCAATTCCTATTACATGCTGTACATCTAGCAGGATTTAGTAAGGATGAGAAGTGCATTGATTTTTATAAAAACAGTATAATCCAGATAAGCTCCATTACAGACAATATTAATGATAATCTTTTCATAACATCACAAAAGCTGGATTGCATGTTTGTCTATTTGTCTGTCTGTCTGTCTGTTGGCCACTTATAAAAATAAATCTTCAGTGATTTTGCTTCTTAAATTACTCTAGAGGGGTAAGTTATGTTTGATAGATAAAACTGGCTCTTAAGTCTGGACGTTCAGTTGCCTGAAAGTTCAGGTGGCAGGAATAAAGATTTGCGCAGGTTCTGGCCTTCGCTTTTCTTATAACCTCTAAGTGGGAATAATCAATTTCTAATCTCTTTTCTGGTTTCAGGCTATTACCTCTGGGCTTTGGGTTTTTAATGCTTTTCCTTCAATTTTTAGTTTGTGAAAAATGTAGAGAGTCTATACCACATAAACAATAACAATTGGACTTTCTGAAGGTTCAGGCAGAGCTCTTGTTGATAGTTCTATGGCTAATTCTCCCTCTGCGTTTGACAGATAAAAAGTTTATAGCTTTGGCATGACCTTTTCCCCTTTCTCTAAAGCATAGCACATACACGTGACTCTAGCTGTTAAATTGTAATGGCAGTTCCTTCTTATTTTTTTTGTTTTTTGTTTTCTTCCTTACTGGTATAAACCACCAGACTGCTCAAATTGCAATCATGAAGAGATCACCTATTTTTAATATTCATATAGCTACTTAGCAATGGGAAGCTGTAATTTCCACATGGTTAAACTGTATTACTGACTAAGGTATAATCCAGAACCATTAAAATAATGGAAACATGCCACATTGCCATAGTGCTCCTAGGTAAACAATTACAATTCAGTAATTGCAGCTCTTGGGGATAGAAATGCAGTATGATTTAAACAATTTAAAGGATAATTGATTTGGACTGCAAATTTGGGTTTCTTGGTGAGCTGTTTTTAATGGTGGCAAATGTTTTTAGAAAACCCCTGTGCCCTTCTGAACTGTGCAGAAGGAAACATTCAAATATGTAATTATGTACGTATATTGTTTACGTACATATATTGTTATGTATATTGTATACATAATCAGTTTTCCATCTCAAGTTCTGCGTTTCTAAATGCATTTTTTCTAAAATCTGTATCTTAAATGCTATTTATTTTAATATGTGCTGCTTCAATGCATTTTAATACATTTTGAATTAAAAATTCAGTGGAATATTCAAAAAATGGCAAAAGCCAGTGTTTATCTATGATACTTTTCTTAGCCTTCTGACTGAGGATTAGCTCAGTTTCCCAGAGTTTATCAAGATCAAGTTCAGCAAGAAATCCTAGAAACCCTTGAATGTAGTAGACTACTGTCCCATCACAAGTGTTGCAAGAAGGTTTAGCTGCCTGTATGAACAAGTTATCTGCATGGAGTGGGAAAAGATAAGAAAAAGAAAAGAAAAGGCTTCTCCGTATCATAGCATGTAGGAGTTGAAATGGCCTCCAGACGACAATATTTCAGAACATTCCATACGGGCCTTTGTTGCTTTTGTGAGCAAACATGAATAGAACCATCCTGGTACGTTTATTCTATCTGGTGCATTTATCTTAATCATGTGGTTCCCTGATGTTTTTAAAGGATTAGTCATGTGAACTAGCCAATTAATATAAGCTTTTAGTTGAACAATGTGTCTTTTTTATAAAAATCTAAACATTTTATCAACTGTATGATCTGGTCAGCCATATGTGTACCATTTGGGTTACAATATGAATTTGAAATAGAATCTAATCTGAATATATTCCCTAGGGAAACAGCTGCTGCAAGAAGAATTCAGCACAAGTTCTATCCCCTTTAGATTCAGCATAAACTCTAGAAAAGTAGTAAAAGTAAAGATTGTCACAACTCCCATTTGAGCCAAAATAAATATTTGCCCTCATATCTCACAACTGTAAGAAATATAATGAATTAGATCATGTTCACAATTTCTTTATTGGAATCCATCAAGATGTTTTGGGTTAAAAACTCCCTATTTTCATTATTCAGGCTTCTGACAATTTTCCCATTATTCAGTAAAGACTTCAAGAATATGGTGACTCGGGCAATAACATGAAATAATAGTAGCACTATTCCATTTGTAATCTATGTAAATTATTAAATAAGGTGATAGCAACAATACACACTAAAGAAAATGATGCCACATTATTACATCTAGCTGCCCTCTAGGTCTTCCCAGTCACATGTACTTAGGTATTGACAAAAGGCAAGTCTCTTTTCATGTATCCTGTGGAAAAGGGAGCTGTGGATGCTGTTTTCCCTTCATCTCATGAATCATCCATGGATCCGATGCCTGCATTCTGATTTCTGACTCTATTGTCAGTGACGGGTAGTGATGATTTATGAAGTAGGAGAGACAACAGTTAATTTTTATGTTAGCTGATTCGGCTTCGGGTTAGAAAAATCAGGTTTTGGATTGTAGATGCACTGGGTTTGATAGGAAAGATACTAATAGAGAATAAATCCAAATAAATGGGCAACACAATTGCTTTGTTTATGCAATATCTTTCTGGAGCTCCTCTTCTTTTAGAAAAACCCAAGGCTATTTTAAGAAGACAACATTTTTTTAACCTACTATTTATAGTCTTATCCAAGACTGGACAGTATAGTCCCTTTGATACTGTGTGGAAAACATTTAAATAGTTGACAGATCTAGTTCAAAAGTATGTGTTGCAATCCTTTTGAAATTATTCCACTTCCAAATACAGGTTGCCCATACAGCTAGCATATCAGAGGACATGCAGCTTTCTACCTGCATGGGAAAATATTCATGTTTTCAACATTCACAAAATGTGATCCCTTCATAAACCTAATCAGATGCTGTTGTCTGTAGAGGCTTCGCCACTTGCCTATGTTACACAGGACTGATCAGACTGAGTCCTGGAAAGTTAGTATTTGGCTAAGAAGCACACGGGTCCCCAAAAGACACACTACCTTTTTAAGTATTTGCACAGTGTTTTTAAGGAAGCATAAAGAGGCCGAAACAGAAAGGAAGAGGCAATACATTAAAACCATTGCAACTATTTTACATTTCTTCTAATACGTTATTCTACTTTGGGAGTTGTTAAGAGTTCACACATGCATAAAACATTTTGCATAATGATCTCTGAACTTCTATATTTTGCTGTGAGTAAAGTTCATAAGGATGGGAAGTTATATTTTGAATGAAGTGTACGTCTGAAAGTTTTGTCCCTCTTGTTTTTCATGTATTCAGGGTGGAGTGAACGGCTTGACAGGAGACCTGGAGTTTGCGGACAATGGTGGGAATCCCAATGTTCTGTTCGAAATCCTAGGGACAAATTATGGAGAGGAACTGAGCAGAGGAATTCGCAAGGTGAAATTCTTTCTTTTCTTTTTTGGAAATGTTTCAGATATATTATGGAACATTTTGGCAACAGAAAATTGAAACAAATATAACTAACTGATTGGGAGAATGGTTTTAGAAAAACGAGATTAGATATTGCTTTGAAATGTATTTTGGAGGCTTGTTTGTTTTGGTAAATTATCAAAATATCTTTAGATTTTTCACAGATCCACATATGGAAATATGGCCCTCGTGAGTAGGTTTTGGCAAGAAGGCTGCTTATATAATAGTTTTTTTCCCAATCATATTTTGCATTGACATGAATACAGAAATTTGAATTGAGATAATACACTTCTATTTCAGAATGTTAATTATCAAACAGAAAATCAGCTGCAAAATTAAGTTTTCCTGTATTTTATTTCTCATTTTCTTATGAATAAAAGAGCATATTTTGAGAAATTGCTGTAATTGGTGACATTTGCTGTGGTTGGTTTCTTTAAAAAAAAAAAGGAATGGATGTTAGATGTATGATTTGCATGAGGATTAAATTTATAATTCTATAATCAAATTGTTTCAGTCCTCAGAAAATTAGAAAACTAATTTGGCTTGACTTAGAATTTGATTTTTTAGCTTTTCTTCATACTATACTGCAAAGGAAAAAAAAAAATAAAACTTTGGTTGGTTAATCCAGGATTAAAAACTTTATTATCAGTATTTCATTCTTGAACAGTTTTTCTTAATGAGTGATCTGAGGTAATGCTGAAGTCTACTATTTCCGTCTATGTCAAAGAAATGCAAATGGCATGGTTTTGGAGTGATCTTCATTCAGCAATCCAAATTTATTTGCAGCTGTACATAAACATTATTATGAGAAGAATTCTTGGTGTCATGTATAGGCTAATATTGTTTCTCATTCAGCTGGGATCACATTTTATTTTCATATATATGAAATGTAACCATAGCTTAGGGTAAAATAAAGTCAAGAGATCAGCTGGGCATCATATATACAGCAAAAATGTAGATAGAAAGGGGGGGACCTATAGCTTTGAGACACCCATTTCTTGTTCCTTGTCAGTAAGTCCAGCTACTAACCTATAAAATGAATGATGTTGCCTCTTTTTTTACAGTATCTTGTTTTCCTAAGCACTGGCTTACAGGATGTCAAGCTCTGCCTCCCCTGACCAAATTAAGACCCAGAAGTCAGGCTGCTACAAGTGTTTGTTAAATGTCAGCCATTTAAAAAAAAAAGAGTTCTTTGTGAAAAAGACGTACAACCTTTCTCTGTCTTTTGGAATTCCATGCAACAGAGGAAGGTGTGCATTCCCTCAATATGTTCCAGACATCTTTCTCAGAGCAGAAAATATATATTTGTGACTTGGCGATATGATCTGGAAACGTGGGAAATGAAAGACGAGTCACTCAAACTTCTTTTGTCATTTTTTGAGCCGTCTTTTTTTGTGGTTTATTGAGACTATTTTGAGAGTTTCTAACAATGATGGGGCATTTAAGGTGCATGACTATGCAGTACACAGGTAGGATTGGTTTGAATGTTATGTGAATTTCATGAGTTTGCAGTTTCTAAATTAGGATCATCTTAATATTGGTGAATATAAAGCAAAATTAATGTTCTTTATCTGATATCTATAGGAATATAATTAAATTTATTTTACCATAATTATTATTTCTTGTGATTTATGCAGCCATGCAAAAATAGAAGAATATAATGAGGTGTTATGCTTTAGTGGTCAATATTGTTCTCACTGTTGCCCCATAAATAGAATCACTAATTCTTTGCATCTTATACTGTAGATAATATTAAGTGAATTGGATAGACTTCCATGGCCTTTAGGATATCAACTATCATATTCCAAAGTGTGTGAATCAATTTGCAGTCTCATCACCATTACTGCAGTTCCATTACTGCTAAAACATCTTCGACACCTTTATTTCTTGAAACTCAGAGAAAAATATCTAATAAAGAAAAAAATGGTCTTGAAGATAAGTTTCTCAATTAAAGGAAACTAGTTGTTTTTCTATTAGAGAAAAGATGAAGAACTTCTCTTATAAATATAATTTATATATGAAATATTTGCAATATTATTTCTATAATTAGACAAGTAGAAAACATACTTGTCAGCAACTTGAATTTTATTTTCATTTAAAGTTTATTAAGGGTGGCTCTTAATTAATCTTAAGCTGTAACCATACATTCACTTCTTAGGAAATAACTTGATTGACTTCTGAGAAAGCATTAATAGATTGTTTCTTAAACAAATGGCCTCTAAACCAACTGGACAAGAAAAATCTTGTTCAAAATAATTGATGAACAGATAGTGTATAGATAGATTGATGTATGAATTTATTAAATCATCTTTGTTACTTTTGATGAATATATGATCTATTTATTCTGAGCCCTCATTATTTTGAATTGTGTGCATGTATTCACACATGTATAGGTGCCTGCACATGCACACACATAAACACAGAAAATATATTAGAGAATTGAATTCAGCTGTATAAAAGTCCATTTATCTATAGTGGTTATGAATTGCTCGTGCTTCCTTAAAGGTAACATGAGCAACTGCCTCTCTCAGATCTTACCACGAACTAAAGTACATTTTGAGATTATGGAATTAAGTCATCTAGCAACCAAAGTTATCAAGACAGAAGATGTTAAGCAATGAGAAAAGCATGCAACTTTTACAGGCCACACCAGTGGAAATAAGAAGCGTGCTGAAAGGGTCACTATAATAAAGAACATAAATTAGTCCTTGTATATAGTAAGTCAGCTAAGTTATTTAGGAATTTTCTCAGGAAGTTATTTATCTCTTTTTTCTGCTGAAAGAGGAGGGAAAAGTAAAGCAGATAACCATAATTTCTAGAATGAAACAGAAGGCCCCAAAGAACAATTTGAGCATGATTGCACATGCATATGGATAATTTGCTGTCTGCTTTCTTGATCCTTTAGCATTTGACAGAATCTGTGAACTGCTAAATTGAAAAAGGTACTTAATGTAGATGTTGGTTGATCGTATTCTATATAATGCTGCATTTGTATTAAAATGTGCTACTGGAACTTGAAATCAGTGAATGATGACAAGTCTCTGTGAATTGGTTCTTAGATCCCTGAAAAAATGGTTGGTATTTCAGAATACAAATTCATCTTGGATCAGGATTTAAAAGTACACTTTGGATTAAAGTGGTCAAAGCAATAATGTAAGTCAGTTAATTCTTCAAGCCTTTTTTATCAAAGTTCATCCATTTTCATTTTTCAGAAGTAATGATACTTTATTGTTTGATGCCTGATATATAGTATCATGGATATTAAGAAAGTTTTTGACGGACATAGAGGTTGGAGAAAAACTTAGGATGATAGTTGCTCGATAGAAAAAAGGGCAGAAGACATAATTAAAAGGTCCCCCCCCTTTTTTTTCTCTATTTCTTATTTTCTTTCCTTTTTTTTTTTTTTTACTACACTGAAAAATTCATATAGAGAGACACAGAGAGAGAGAGTTTGGTGAATTAATAAAATATTTCACTATACCATTTCATAGAGCAACATAAAACCTGTACTTTTATATGTTAGAAGCTACCAGCAGATGGTCCTGTGCAAAAATTGACAAGCAACTATCTACTGCATTTATTTAGATATTGGTAATTTCTATCCCCCATTTATTGTGGAATATTAATTGTTCTGATTTCTGTCCTGTATAACGAGTCAATGGTATAGAATCTTTGGATCAGTTTGGAACCAATTTGCTTAGATCACTGCAGTTGGGTGACTTTTCCATTTATTTCTATATCTGTCCTTGGTCATAACATTAAACCAGATGTTCAGTGGAATCAGTTTGGCTCTTGTGGCTTGTTTGCTCTGATCACAGCTGGGAGTAGCATAGGCACGCAACTGTTGTGGACACCCTGAGGACTCTGGTGGATGAAAGTTTCAGATTAATTCTTGTTGCCAGCCAGAAGATTCCAATAACAGAGAATGGGTGGAATGACCCATGTATTCCCACCACCACCATCTCATTGTGTCCTTCCATCATCCTTGGTGATATATATATAAATTGGGAAACATTTCAGTGGGACTATAGTACAATACTATCCTCTGTCTTTTCTTTTAAGGATGGGATTAACTTTATTATTAAAGAAGAGCTCCAGATAGCTTATTCCATTCTGATTTTTGATAGATTTTGATGTGGAAAACCAATCTTGAGATGTTTCCAACACATGCTGAGACCGCAGCATAATGCCAGAGAAAAGGCAATTGTGTTCTCATCCATTTGATCCCAAGACATTTAGTATATCATGTGGGAAACCCACCATTTTCTGCTATCATCCTAACCAGCCTTCCCTCAGGTAGCAGATGGCTTCTGCACAATATGGTGCATATGGCAGATACTTGGAATGCAGTAAGCTAACTATTGCCAGTTCATGGATCACTTTGGGGCCTTTCAACGTGGTCTACAGAAGGATTTTTACTTGCCTTTTTGAATTCTAAAAGTGAGAGTTTATTCATTAGTGAATACTTCAATAGAAAATGCCATAATGTTTTGACATCTTTAGATGGCGTATGACATTTGGCCTGGGTGTATATGTGTGTGCGCTTATTTTTCATGCACCAGTATGCCCCACCATCTCCCATTATGACTTTAAAGAACAAGTCTAACAAGCTTACCAATAAACAACTACAGAAAAATTAAATGTTAGCAGCATTAATGAAAGCAAAACAAAGAGCAAGGAAACAAAATAAACAGAATACATTCCTGTTTGTTTTAGCACTCTACTCTTTATAATGCTGAAGTGATGAAGTGTCTGAGGTATTCTCTTTAATATTTCACTGATTCTTCTTCTTTCCTGAAGTTATTCATTATTATTTATTAGCAAAATACCTAAATACCAATGAGATGGGGTATATGTATAAGAAGAGATTGAAAATTACAAGGCATTCTGGGTGTTGCAAAATTTGTCAGGATCCTGGGCAAGGTGTCTTAAGTATCCCATAGGATTGTTGTAGCAAAAAATTTGGA